AAAAGTGTGCTTAAGAGAACTTTTAAAACTTCATTCGAATGTGGAAGATAGTGTTTAATATGAGGAAGAGTAAAAAACATATTAGTAAAGAAGAGATTGCTTTCTTGAAATAATTTTAATTTTGTATGGATTTGATACAATAATGGAGAAAGTTCAAAGTGTAGGTCCAAGAAATAGGTCCGAAAGACATTTATATATGTACACATCTAATAGAAGTAAGTCTATAGTTTCTCTTATAAAGCACATTGGCTTTTTATTTTAATAAGAAATAGAGTAGATTTCGTAAATGAATTCCTTTAGAGATTGTTTCTGTTAGTTCCAAGTTACCAATTGTTGGGACCAGAATAGAACTGGGTAATTGACAATTAAATATTATTAATATTTAATAAATAATAATAATTCATAATTTAATTATTTGTTAATTAATAATAATAATAATTAATAATTTTAAATGTAATAATTAAACAAAATCAAATGAAGTAAGATTAATCAAAGTACGAAAAAAAAAGAAATTAATAAAATGCTTAATGTCAAATCCTTTAAAAGCTTTATACACTTTATTTTTTTATTAACCAATTGATTAAGCAGCTTTCGACTATGCTACCAAAGCTGCAATTAGAATGAACTCATCCGAAAAATAGGAATCACACCTAGAACACTTTAGGATTCTGTAGAAAGTTTATGTTATCCCATAAGAGTTTGACTAACACACGGATCAACCAATCTAATAAAGCGATTCGCAGACTCTATACTGAAAAGAAATAAGATATCTAGAACACATCAGTATTCTGCAATGCTATTCCACTAAAGGTTGCTTGACTAACACATAAATCAACAAAATCTGACACGTTTATTTAAAGACTTTATACCGAAACTAGATGAGTGGCATGAAAATTTACACATGTCTAAGTGGTTTCAAACTAGACAACAGGATTGGGTTAGAAATTCAGTAAGAAATAATATAATAGGTAATACATATCAGACTATGCAATGTATATCAAGGGGAGACGATGTCATTTAAATGCAGCTCATATACTATTGGAAAGGCATATTCCAAAAACCGGAATTTCATTCTTCACTAATGCTCAAGTACTCAAATCTATAGTTATCCTATTCTGTGTCAGATTTTAAAATGAGATCAGCCGATAAAACAAAATATCCGTCATCTGAATACCTGGATGAGTATCAGTATCAGTAGATACTACTACTGAAACTGTAGAGTGGACAACTTGCACACAAAGACTCAGCCATTAGCAATATCAGTTAATGTTTAGGTATTTACATATTAATCAATATATCATGTCTTTGATAAAACTTCTTTCCTGAGAAAAGCATTAATGAGTTGGGCAAAAGAAAAAACTTGTGCTAAGATTAAACACATCTGTTCATCTATGGATTAATCTTTCTATTGTTACAGGCTATTGGTTAATAGACAGACACACACAGAAAATTGAAATTCTAACTGCAGGACTTTGCGGTCTCTATCAAGAAGGAAAGGAAGAATAATTAAACGTTCATATATTCCGCAGTTGTCCAGCTTTGGTAAGGAGCAAGGTTGAAATTCTTGAATAACAAATTTCTTGATGAACCTGAAGCATTATCAGAAATTTATATCAGATGTCATGCAAACTTCTTAAGAAAATCAAATTGATTAAAATAATACTGGTTGCTCTTGAATCTGCAATAGACATATCATAAAAAAATTCTTTGTATTCCAAATTGTTCGGAAAAAATATAACCTAAAAAAGTAATAGCCCTAAGGTAATGTAATATATAGAACTTGCTAACATACTCTGCTCAGTTTTTTAATACTTAGTAGCCGCGTTTCACAATAGATCAATGATTATTCCAATTAAATACTTCTCTTCAACTCTATCAAAGCTGGACAACTTCACAATAGTTTAATGGTTGTTCCAATTAAGTACTTCAACCCAGGGACGTAAAGGAGTTTTTGTATTTATCATAACTATAACAAAAGTGTAGTTTTGACGCTCTTAAAAAATAGATTATAAAAAATAGATTAAATCAGTTAAAAACATATGTTTGAAGTGCAAAGTGAAAACGAGGCGAATGTTTATAAAAGCAGAATGAATGTTGAATAAGTGAACATTAAAAATTAAAGGAGGTTTTTCGCTTTCATTTATCAAAAGATACATTTAATGTAATTAACTAAATTGTAGGGCATAAAAACTGTATTGCGCTGGTGTTTAATATTTTATATAAAAAATTTTTGTATGCATGCTCCAAGCAATGGCGAGTTTCAGGCTATATACGTATCCTACTAGTATCTTTTCTCCCCCCACATGTCATTGGGGTCAACAAAACCATTAAAGTCGCCTGCTGCCGTTTAATTTCGATTTATATTGTAAAAGTTTTATTTTCATGTCACTTTGCGTAGTCACACATGCACTAACGCATAAACGGAACAACGCAACGACGCATCAACGGAACAACGCAAAAGTACTTACACATACACATTTAATTAACAGCGAACGCACCGCACCGCATAGTCGTGCGTTTCAGCTTGACACTCATTAAAAAAACGGCGGTGGCGTTGACGGTGTCAACGATGCTTAAGTTTTCAAGTTATTGCTTTCATAAGTGTGTGTGTGTATGTGTATGCATGTGAGTACTGTGTGAATGTGTGATGAAGTGTGTGAGAGCTTATGTTGATAAACTTAAGAAATCATGCCTGAGCTCCCCGGTTTTCTATGCGTTCGCTTGGCCCAAGTGCTGCCAAGTTTACTTTTTCAATTATGCATTTGCTGCGGGGCATTAACAGATTTACAAGTTCGCATTGTGGGAATAATTTAAGCAAATTGAAATAATTTGAATTCTGTGTATTTCAGATATTTCTTGTGCTGGCTGCTCAGAAAATTTCATTTAGAGTTTATGGCGAAAAAGAAATTTTACTTAAACTTTTTAATATTGGCAATGTGAAGCAATTATTATTTTCTGTTATGTTTTTTGTTTTTGTTTTTTGTTTTGTTCTGTGCAGAATTATGTGAGAGACTGAAAGGATGGAAAAAGGATTGTTAGTTATTTTGTGCAAAATATTTAATAATTTTTGTTCATTGCATTTTCCTTTACTCATTTTCGGATTTATAAAGGAAGATAAAAAAAATTAAAAACATAACATTTATATTTTTTCTTTTAAGTTACTTTTATTATAATCTTTTAAAATTTGAGAGTATAAAGCTTAAATGAAAATTATTTTGTGAAAAGAAAATATCCGGCAAAAATGGTGAGGATAATAAAATAAAAACTTTCAAGGAAAAATTGTTTTAATATATTACTTAATTAATAAAACTATAGTTTAATTTAATTACAGAGACCATCCAAACATTAATAAGTACAGATAAAATTGTGATGCTAACAAAATGATTATGTTTAAGCTGATATTAATAATTATTTTGGCAACCCTTAATACTTGCAGTCTCTAAAAATTATTTACGAATAATTATATATAAGAAATAATTCGAAGACCATTGATGATGGGTACTTGGCAATATTTGAAGCAATTGTATGGGCAGCCAAAAATTTATTTAATTAATAAAATAATAAAATTTTGTTGTTGTAATTTACTACTGTTCAATATACGTCTCTATTGAAAATCATAGTTTATATTAAGAATTTATTAGGTTTTTTCAAAACAAATCCCAAATCAATTAAAATAATTAACGTAAAATTGCAAAGCAGTGAGTTATTTTACACTTAGATCGACATAAATCCTATTTTGTATGATTCTTCTCAGCAGAACAGAAGTTTGGTTACTAGCAGATTACCTAGAACTGCAACTAATGTTACTATTTCAACATAATGGTACTTTTTTAATCGTCAAAATCTTAATAGGAAATGAGACTATTAGTTATATTTTATGTAATAAATGTCTGCTGTACCCAACTATTAAATACTGTTTAACTTTTTATTCCTTTTTTGTCTAAAAGGCGAAAAGGCTGTTAATTATATTACTTGGGAAGAAAAGTCCTCTGTCTTTATCTGATAGTAAGAATTTTTCAAAGCGCATCATGTTTCAATTATAATCATTTTGTTTAATTGAGAACATCTTTGACTATAATGTTTAATATTCTTTCGCAAAACTGTTTCAAAGCTAACAATAGATAATCATTATAGCATATAATCATTATATCAAATGGATAGACTAGACGTAAGCCAACAATTCAACTAAAAATTGTTGGCTTGACATGATTTTTAAAATTTTTAAAACTTCACTTTCTAATATATAAGAAATCAATTATATTATACATTAAACGTTACTGATAGTAAATCGTTGTATTTAATGAAAAATTACCCAAAAGTGAATAAAAGTTTTTTTTAATATTTTTACTTTTAACTTTACCCTTTTGAAAACACTTCTCAAATGTTCCGCTTAATTTTAGATTGACTAAGGTGTACAAGTAGTTATTAAGCAATTAAAATTGAAATTGTGTTTTTCAATATTGCAAAATTTTATAGTTTAATTTAACTAATCACAGAAAATCACTTCACCTAAAATAAAAAGAGCGAAGCAGAAATTGCTATTCCACAAAATGAACAAGTCAGCACGAA